TGGAAAAGCCCAAGTAGGGCAGAAGACCCTAACGGTGGGTCAGGGGGCCAGGCACGGCTATGGCCACCTGAGCCCCGACCATAGAAAGCATGGAGGCAGACCCAGTGGGGTGCTGCCAAAGCACAGAGGCAGGCCCAGTGGGGTGCTGCCTGTATGGGTGAAGCCCCGACAGGGGTCGACCCCATTGAGATGCCCCAGGTGAGGGTGCGTACTGGAAAGAAACCCCAGGAGGGGGCACACAGAAGATTGATAGAAACCCCAGTTGGGGTGCGGACTGGACAGAGTCCCAGAGGGCTCAACAGTGGTGGGCGACCCCAAAGGGTCACGGGCCAGGTAAGGCTCAGGCCGTCTGAGCCCAACTGGAGAGAGCATTGTTAGTAAGCCCGAGAGGGCTAACGACTAGAGGGCAGACTGGACAGAGTCCCAGAGGACTCTACAGTGGTTGGGGGACCCTGAAGGGTCACAGGGGCCAGGTCAGGCTCAGGCTGCCTGAGCCCTACTGGAAAGAGTATTGTTCGGAAGTCCAGGAGGGCTACCGACTAGAGGGGCGCTGGTTGCATGAGAAGCCCGAGACGCCAGAGAAGGGGCGCTGGTTGCGTGACAAGCCCAGGGGCGCTAGAGAGAGGCGCCAGTTGCATGACAAGCCCAAGGGCGCCTGTCAGGGTGCAGAAAGGAAAAGGACCAGATAACATCCGGAAGAGCTGCGAGGCTTGGGGCATGCTAAAGGGGAGGTTGGAGGCACGCATAGCCCATAAGGATGGGGTTGCACCAAGTCACCCCATCTGGTACGGGGGGGCAGTATGAGCAGAGCACTGTGTCCAAGGGGATCGTAAGGCAGCCTCCCATATAAAACTATATATACCAACAAGATGTGGCGGGCAAGAATAGAGGGTGCTGAATCGCTAACTTGGCATGGTAAGGGGCGCTAGCGGGATCACAGCCGCTCCTAGGCCCCACTCCGTGACCGACCCTCCCTTACCGGGGATCCTCAATCTGCTCCCCCACCCCTTCGTTCTCCCCCTGCACCTTCTCCTCCATAGACTTATCAGCTTGGCACACTCTACATGCTCCAGAAGAAAGAATCCTGAGAATTGATCTCTATCAGAAGATCATGAGTCAGAGTTAATTTGACTTGAAAATTAGGAGTCGTGTGATTTTTTTTTTTTCATGAGAGTTGGCATTACTGGGGGTGACTCACAAAATGTGTCTACATTTATTTATACTAAGAATTCCACAAAATATCTTGTTCTAAAAGATTATTTAGCATCTCACAGCACCTAATGAAGTGAGCTGTTATTCATGAAAACTTATACATCTCTGATATGGCAATAATTTTAGTTTAAACAGATTTAAGCATGTGTGGTCAAAAATTAGGTACCATCATACAGGTATTTCATATCCACTCATGTCTCAAATTTAAGAATAAGTAGGTCTGGCAGTAGCAAACTGCATAATTAATTTTAATTTCTATTGCATATTAAAATGGTTTGTGTCCACTCTTCCATTAGATCCTGGAGTTAGAGATGCCTTGTAGTATTGATTCTTGCTGGAAAATATAACATTTATGTGATGCTGCTTCTGACAGTTGTAGTTCAACTATATAGTGAAGATAATTAGGCAAATCTAAAATGAATGTAGGCTTGAGAAAGCAATCCAGATGTATATAAGTTCTGGGAAAACAGACATTCTTTCACTCTATGAGGACTTGTACTTTATATGTTGTTGACTTCCAAGATCTGATATTTTAAAATGTCTCTCACCCAAAAGACTCTCAACTAGCCGTATACAAGTAACCAATCCCATATAAAGTAAAAATAGCAAATTATATATTGCTCAATTTAGGAATTATGTGAGGAGCAAGGATTTCTTAGGGTTGTATCTTTTATTGGACCAATTACATTGCCAAGAGATAGTTTGACAAGATTTTGAATTCAAGATGTTCTTCTTCAGCTCTGAGGAGTTAAAAGCCAGCACAGCATAGTAAAAAACCTGTTGAAAGAGAAGCAAGAGAAATTCCCAAGGGTAGGAGATAGGCAGACAAGGTTCTTTGGGTAAATGCAATTATCTTTTATTAGACCAACTAAATGGTTGGAAAAATTGTTTTTGTGGCAGCTGTCAGGCACAAGCACTCTTCCTAAGGCAAAGGGGGGAGAGAGTTTGTTGGTGTTTGTGTTAGAAGACAAACACTTGGCAGAAGAAAAGAAGGTGATTATTTGAAGATCATGATCTGTCGATAAGAAGGAGGGTCATTAACCTGTACACTAACGTCCCACACCATGAAGGCAAAGCTGCCTGCCTGAAATACCTAGAAGAACATAGAATATACCCAAATTTGCATAAAATATATTGCACAAATCATCCACTTTATCTTCATCCAAAACTTAACTTTCAACAGTTGTCACTTTTTCCAAATCATGGGCACACCTGTGGACACAAAGATAGCCCTTCATTATGCTAACAACCTCATGACTCAGCTGCAGGAAAAATTGGTAGAAAGCTGCACCATGAAAACTGCATCATACCTGTATTATGTAGGTGATATTTTTATTGTCTGGACTGAACACTTGGACTCGTTTATTGACTTCCACCACAGGTTTAACAACTATCACCACAAAATCAACTTTCCCTAGAATACTCCTACAGTAAGATCAACTTTCTAATACCACAGTCCACATCTCGGATAGCACTGCACAAACCACCATATACAAAAAACGCAAGATTACTGTATTTATGTCCACAGAAAACATCTGAAGCACACCAAAAAAAGCCATAATCTATTGCTCCCACCTCATCTACTATGAGGAGAACAGTCATGATTCCCACCTGGCTAGCCTCAAATGTTTCTTTATACAACAGAGACACTCCAGCAGAGAAACAGACCATACATTTGAAACAGCTATCCAAAGACCCCTCAGTAACCTGCTATAATACAAGAACCCCCTTGTGACCACGCACCCACCCTACACTGGAACCGATCAGAAGAATCAACCACAGCCTATACTCCAAGAAGATCAGACCCTGAGAGAAGTATTACCAGCCCCTCCACTCCCAGCTTTCAAACAGCCTCTTAACCCTGTTCAATTCATCATCCAAATCAAGCTCTTCAGTGCCCAGCAAGACATCAAGTGGGATACCACTTTGCCTCAGCAATAAATGCTTAATCTGTCAACATATCTCCACTGCTGCTACAATCAACACCCCGCTATAAAAACACCATCAGAATCCATGGTTCTTTCACATGCCTATCTCAAAATGTGATATATCTGATTCAATGTACCAAATATGCTCATGGTAACAACATGAGTGAAACTAAATAGCAACTACACACCAGAATGAATTCTCACAGAAAAAATATAAAGGACAAAGACCCACATGCACCATTTGAAGTACATTTCTCACAGAAGAACCACTCCCCAACTCCCCATTTGCCTTCACTATCCTCATGCTCAAAGGCAATCTACATACCTTACATAAACTTGGGAACAAAAATTCATAAACTATCCGGACACTAAAAAACACTGATACAGAAAACCCTTGCTATTTGTGGGTTCCGCATTCATGGTTTCAAATATTTGCAACTGCCGAACCCACATTTTAAATACACTTTATACACTTGCACAAGCTCCCAAGGAGTTCCTGTTTGCTGCTGCCAGGCTCCCGCCACCGCCACACTCCCACCGTCGATGCTGGAGCCATGCCCCCCAGCCGCTGGGGGCACTGTGTTCGTGAACAAAGACTGTGTTCATGAATGCAGTGCCTTATTTGCAGATTTCACCATTTGCGAGGGATACAAGAATGCTACATATGCACCACATATGGCGAGGGTCACCTGTACTTGTTTTATAGCATATGATAAGCTACCTAATTCATGAATTCTTCCTACACATTAAAATCTGATA